CCGGGGCACGGGCAGCCTCTGCTTGTGGCACACGGCAGGCTGGGGAGGAGACAGGCAGCACAGAGGCAGGGAGCAGACAGCAGAGCAGTAGAGCGAGCAGGGGAAGGGGATTACAGCAGCATTCAAGGGGCGTGCAGGGCTACTTTGGCTCTCTTGCAAAAAAAAAAGTTGGCCTCCGCTGGGAGACAACATGGGACAAGTCCCAGGCAGAGCGGAGCTGCATAAGAGCCGGCAGAAACCTTTTCCCGGGGCAGACGCAGGAAGCCGAGCGCTGACGCTCTCTTCCATAAGCGGTGTTACGGCTTCATTTTCCTTTTACAGCTTGATTGCAGCAAGTACCCCCAGGTAACCACCAAGAACGGCACGGTGCTGGTGGCCTGCCCAATGATCTACAACCCGATCTGTGGCACGGATGGGAAAACGTATGCCAGCGAATGCACGCTGTGCAGCCACCAACTGGAAGTGCTGCAGCTAATCCTTGACTCCCCAGCCATGAGCCACAGGTCAGAGCATTGTGCAAGTGATGCGCTGGCAGGGGATTTTCGGTTGCAGCCGTGTCGGTCTGAGGACACGGGCAGGAAAGGTCCTTTGGGTGGATGTGATATCTTTTATTAGACCAACTGAGTAGCTGGAAAAAAGTTCTTGGCAAGCTTTCGGGTGCAGCCACCCTTCTTCAGACATCCCTTCTTCCTCTATCAGGGATGGCACCTATTCTGTCCTGATGCTGATCGCGTCGGGGAGAAGGCGATGGGCTAAATCCATCCTGTATCCCCAGCGCTCTGCAAACCTGATCCCCCGCTGTAACAGAGAGCGGGACCCCCTAACTCTTCTCTTTCCCACTTCCAGGAAGGCCGAGCTCAAGGTTGACATAAAGCATAGCGGCCTGTGCCCGGAGGACCTTCCCAAGGTAGTCCAGAGCTGATGCTGAATAAGGGACAGGTCCTGCTCCCTGGCCGATATCAGCGCCGTCCCCTGCCCACATGCGGGGGTTTCCCAGGCTAGCAGGCAGAGCGGGCTGGGAGCATGCCGTGGCTCCCTTGCGTGTCCAGGGGCTCAGTCACCCCGGGTGGTCCACAAGCACCGTGGAGCATGGGACAAGTCCCAGACAGAGCAGAGCTGCATAAGAGCGAGCAGAAACCCTTTCCCCGGCGCTGACGCTCTGTCCCATAAGCCGGAGGCTGCAGCCGTGTTACAGCTTCGTTTTCCTTTTCCAGCTTGATTGCAGCAAGTACCACCACATAACCACCGAGAGAGGCACGGCACTTGCCTGCACAATATTCTACAGCCCGGTCTGCGGCACGGATGGGAACACGTATGACAACGAATGCAGGCTGTGTAACAACAACCTGTAAGTCCTGCAGCTAAAACTTTCCTCCGGGGCCATCGGCCACAGGGCAGAGCCCTGTGCCAGTGATGCACTGGCAGGGGATGGCACCCGTTGTGTCCTGAAGCTGATCGCGGCGCGGAGAAGGCGATGGGCTAAATCCACCCTGTATCCCCTGCGTGCTGCAAACCAGATCCCCAGCTGGAACGGAGAGCGGGACCCCCTAACTCCTCTCTTTCCCACTTCCAGGTACGCCAAGCCCAGGGTTGAAATACAGCATAGCGGCCCGTGCGCGAAGGACCCTTCCAAGGTAAGCCAAAGCTGATGCTGAATAAGGGCCAGGTCCTGCTCCCATTCACCTCAGAGGCAGGGAGATCAGGTGTCCATGGGCTTACACAGGCTGCAGTGTCCTCCTGGATTTCACCCCCCGGCACGTGGCCGTGATCCGCGTACCGCGCTGTGACATGGACGGGAAGAAAGGGGGAGCGAACCGGAGCCGAGCGTGCGGCCGGCGGCAGAAATGGCCTGCGTGCACAGAACGGCTCTTCCCGCGGCAATCTCTTGTCTCAGCATTACAGTCAGGACAGAGGTTTACAGCCCTGGGGAGGGCAGGGACAAACTCTGGCAGCAGATATCAGTGCTGTCCCCTCCTTGCATACGGGGTTCCCCGGCTGGGAGCACGCCGTGGCTCCCTTGCATGTCGAGGGGCTCAGTCACCCCGGGGCGGTCTCCTCTTGGTCAGAGGATAACTTCACTGGTTGCTGAGCCCATCTTCTTCTAGCGCGAGGAGCGTCGTCGCCACTTTTATCCTCGGGCAGGGCAGGGGACAGGGACTCTTGACCGGCAACGAAGCCAATTGCCGTCATTATTTTGGTAGTCCCCGAAAGACCCGTGTCTATGCCGTGCAAGGCCCTCCCCAATGCAGTATTGTTTTCTGCCGGCAGGACGACTGCAGCAACGTCCGTGAAACCACTCTGACCTGTGCCCTGCTGTACCAGCCCTACTGCGGCTCTGACAACCAGACATACGGGAACCGATGCTTTTTCTGCAACGCGGTCATGTATGTGCACATCTCTCTTTCTCCACGCTGAACCTGAATCGTCAGTGGGCCTGCTTCAAGGGTCCTTGACTTACTGGCATGTGGTGGGGATTTTTGGCAGAAGGGGATAGCAGGAACCGATCCAGGGGCGCTTTTCTTGCATCTAAAATACCAAGGTCCCCGTTGCATGGTGCAGTGATCATGGGTCCCTCTCCATTAACTTCAACAGGCTTTCACGCTACTTGATGCTCTTTGCTGCATGAGAAAAGTATTTCCCAGTGACAACTTGATCCTCAGGAATGAATTAAAATGTCCATTTTTCTTGCAGTATTCATAATAGCCTGCAGCGTGTACTATCCCAGGCCCATG